GAAAGGGAATCCTCTGAACTGTCATTCATGCTAAAATTCGACACTCTATGTGTCGGTCTCAACAAAGGCGCCAACTATCTTACCCATTACAAAGATAGCTTCCCCAATTATCACCTCTAATGCCATTAGCTCACAGACATTTACCTTTTCCACACTCCCCCCCTCCCCCCTTCTGTTCTGAAATGTGATTTGTCCTTTTCATATGTGTTCAATTTTTTTAAATTGTATCCTTTGGTACATATGGTTGTGACTATTTTCTTCCACTATTTGATCTGAGGAAGTGGGTCTGGCCCACGAAAGCTCATCATCTAATAAACCATCTTGTTAGTCTTTAAAGTGCTACATAGTCCTGTATTTTGTTTCTTCTATACAGCAAGCCATTATTTTGAAATAATGGCGAGCTTGGAGGGCTTCTTACTCTGACTCCTGTAATCCTTATTTCACAAGGAGTAAGTGAAGTCGAAGGAAAAGTGTTCTTCCTTTGACTTCCTGCTGTGTAGGGCATAGCTGAAGTTGACAGAGCTGAAGTTGCATAGCTTACTTCGACTTTTGTCCTGCTGTGTAGGCATGCTTGTAAAGTGCAGATTTGCTGAGTAAAATTGCACCATTTTTGCATATCCTAAATTTGTAAATTTGAAAATCCAAGAACATAAAATATAAACTTAAAGATGACTGTCTTGATTTCACCAAAGTCAAGAAATGGAACATTTTCATATCCACTTCAATTTGACCATGTTTGACAGCTGTAAATATTCATTAAGCTGTTTGGATTTATGCAGGAATATAAAACAAACACATAGGCAAGGGGAACTGCAGTTTTATATTTCTTTATTCTGGGGCAGTGTCTGTAAATTAATTTGTATTTCTTGATTCTGAAGTGTCTGTAAATAAATGTAAGACTTGGTGGCAATGATTTTCGTTTGGAAGTATTTTCATATATCTGTTTATTCGAAATAGACTTAATTGCCAAGTGTGTGTGACCAGTAACCTGATTTAGAAAACTAGAGGTCACAAGGAAATAATTGGATACTGCATTAGTTAATTATTCTCTGAGTTAAGAGCAGTTTGTCACATGTTAAATATCTCTGGCATAAACCATTAACTGAAAAACTTTCTTAGCTGACATTCTTGCAGGATTTCTCAAGGACCACGGTGGAAGTACAACTCTAGCATACATAGAATTGATTTAAGAGCTACCAATAGTTAAATAAGACATCCTGTTTAAACTAAGGTGACTACAAGTAAAGATGATTTTTAAACTTCAGCTATCTGAAAAAGAGGAGAACATGATTGTTCTGAGCAAAACTTGGAAGCTAAGGCTGAAGTGAGCCCTTGAGCCTATTCAACTTCAATGGGACTCCAGTAGGGTGCCTCTATTGGGTAGCTTGGCTAAAAAGCCATTAAAGTAGGAATGCGAGACTTGTTTCAGTAACTGAATCAAGCTGATTTGTGGAGTGATCTCTCAAAGGATGTATTAGAAATTGCACTGCTTGTGAATTAAAAAGACAAGAGACAGCACTGGAAAACATGCTGTGTAGGAAGCACCAGTTTCTAGGGTGTGGCCAAGATAATGAAGCTGGTCCTTTTCAGCTCTGATTTCTATTATGATAGTTAGGCACTCTCAAAGTTGTATATACAATATGTATGTAGTTTCAGCACTCTTGTAAGAGCAAGATCTTGGCACATGACTTATTCTACTTTAAAATAATGGACACTGTTTTTTTAAAAAAAAGGGGAACAAAGCTCCTAAATGGATACAATATGATTTTATTTTTATTCTTCTTCTTACCAAATTCAGGAAAAGCCAAAAAAGGTATGAGAACACACTTTTCTCTGTCTGTGTGTGTATCCTTGAGGTGTTTTGTTGAAGTCATTGATTAGAGAGACACTGTCAAGTTTATGACCAAAATCTTAGTATATTTTCAAGTTGCAATATAATAGGCTTCCACAGATTACCACTTTTTTAAAAAATTGCTTTTCAAAATAAACACACAACCCAACACTGGTACCTAAAAAGTTCTCCTGCCTGCAGAGCCACTGCCTATCCATTAGCCTAATATTTTCGCTCTGTGTCTCCAGTTAATAAGTGGGTCACAAATAATAACTGTGTTCACATAGATGGGCTGATTTGTGTTTGATGACAGGAAAGTAAAGCCAAGGTTATATTGGCATACCGTCCACACAAGTGGTTCAGAGGCTGAGGTGTTTGCATACATGCAAATAAAACAAAATAAAAACTAAGAAAAGAGATGTTACTTTTAACATTTGAAGATGGTAAAGGAGACAGAGTTTAAAAAAAAAAGATTTTTTTAAAGTACTTGACAGTGTTCCCTTTGAAAACAGCTTGAGTTAATAGCTATGACCTCACTATTATTCAGTGTTAATAGACTTGTGGAACTATAACAACTGTTGGTCTTGGTGTGTTTAACGAACTGGTTTTGTTGTTTGTGTATGCATTCTTTGACTTAACTGCACCATTACTAAAATCAATTTTGTTCTTATTGCTTTAAAAAAAACCTTAATTTTGCTCTTTTTATTATATCAAAGTTTTCTCTTATGTCATAGGAATTTTTTGTGAGCCCCAAATAAGCAATAGGAAAGGGGCAGAATACTGCAGTGACATGTTACTAGGAACTTACTGTTTTTAATAGCAGCTTACTATTTTTAATAATAAATGGTTGAGCAACTTAATTGCCAAAATGGTTGTAAGCAATAGATGCTTTTTTATAGTATATATTTCTTGCTTGACTTTTGATCCTAGACATATCTTTCATGACCCTATCTTCAAATTTTTATTTTATTTTGTTTTAAATAACTACATTATAAGATTGAAGTTCTTATTGCTCCCTCATCAAAGGCTATTTTAGATTCTTTGGTTATTGTCCTGACTTCAGTATCAGGGGGATGTATCTTGAGTATATCTGTTCACAAAAAGATTCTGGATTATAAGCACTGAATGGCTGTAATGTATGTAGGAAGGTTGTACAGGCAGTCCCCGGGTTACGTAGAAGATAGGGACTATAGGTTTGTTCTTAAGTTGAATTTGTATGTAAGTCGGAACTGGCTACAGATTCAGCCGCTGCTGAAACTGATCAGCGGCTGACTACAGGAAGCCCTAGGCAGAGTTGCTCTGCCCCCAGCTTCCTGGAATCAGCCGCTGATCAGTTTCAACAGCGGCTGAATTGAGGACACCTGGGGTAGAGCAGCTGGGGGGCTGCCGGGGTGGGCCTGCAGCCCCGAGGGGCAGCGCTACGAGACCAACCCAGCACCACCCTAGCTGCTCCGCTCCCCGCTTCACCCA